TCAAGCTTGTCAACAAGCCCTTCCAGCTTCGGTTCATTGCTTTCTCAGGCCTTTTGGGGGGGAGAGAGATGGCAGAATGTACTATCTCCTGGCGAATAGAAACGATGCGTAAAGGAGTGCTCCCTTGCGACTCAGGAGTCAAATGCTGCTATTGTTGTTTGTCAGTCGTCGTGCTTTGCTGGCTGAGTCGCAGGCTAGGCCATGCAAGCCTGTGTAGGATTGAGCCCTCTGGGCATAGCTGGCTAGAAGAGGTGTTAGACCTGCTAGAGGCGGGCTTGGGGTTTAATGTTGATTGGTCTACCGGGCTGGCTTAGGTCTTTTTCGGGGTGGGACTGGAGGTTGGGGTTCAAGTGGATTTGGGATGGGTTAAGTGCGGGCTAAAGTTGGTTCAGGTTGTGTTCGGAATGGGTTGGGGGTGGGTTTTCGGATGGTTCGCTAGACTTTGGGTTGATTTGGGAGGTCTTTTCCCGGATTCTTCAGCCGTCTAAAAAACCCATGGCTGCACGTCCCCCGCCTGAAAGCTGTGGAACTCTTTTGAGCAGCTCCGGCCATGCTCGAAAGCTTTGAAGATAGAAGGCAGGGCATCCGGACTGATGCCACATCCTCAGGGCTCCACGCAAAGGACTTGGGTGTGTCCAACATAGAGGGAGCCCAACAAGTGGTGGTTCTCCTCTCAATTTTCTCTTTACACCAAGGGGAAACGGGTGGCCTCCAACAAAGCGAGCCACACTGACATCATGGCTCCTGTGTCAACCACACAAATCTCCAGCTCGGAGGTCTCCGGCAAATGCTTGGCGGAGATCGTCACCTACGCAAACTTTGATCTTGGCTGAGATACGCCGCGAGCTTCAAACGTGTTCGTGCTAGGACTACACTGATATAAACTGACTTGGCCAGCGACCACATGTCAGACCCTAAGGCGTGCCCGTGTCGGAGCGACGGCGAGTATCTTTGCCAAAAGGCAGATCCCTTGACTGTGAACTTGCATGCATTTGTAAGCAGGTTGTAGAGCAGCTGAGTGCACTTGGAAACGTTGCCCAACCTAAGCGGATGCTCAACAGGCTCAGGCAACAGGCTGCGCCGCGTTGCCGAACTGAAGCCGTACACATGGCAGGCTGAGCAGCACTAAAGGAACCCTCTCCAAGTCAATGCTGTTCCTCAACTCCACACCTGGCGAGCTCGACGCTCAGATGCACATAACCCACATGGATCTCATTCGTATGTCTCGCCTTGCTTCAGCAATGGTGAGTTGGCTCGGTCCACTGCCCAGCGAACCATGACAAGGACCTCTTCAGCGAGCTCAGAAATGTTGACCTGCGCGCCCGCAGTTGGCTCGAACGAACATCCAACTCCACGCAGTGGGGGCCATGCCGCCGGTGTTTGGATGATTGATTAAGAAACTCCAAATTGACTGCCTTGATGGTCCAACGTCCTTCCTGTTCCTTCCCCAGCCAAACAAGCACGCACACACACACAAACAGAGAAAGCAAGCAAGCAAGCAAGCAAGCAAGCAAGCAAGCAAGCAAGCAAGCAAGCAAGCAAGCAAGCAAGCAAGCAAGCAAGCAAGCAAGCAAGCAAGCAAGCAAGCAAGCAAGAAAGAAAGAAAGAAAGAAAGAAAGAAAGAAAGGAGAGAGAGAAATTACGAAAGAAATGAAAGAAACAGAAACCCAAGACAGACGTACGGACAAACGAAAAACACACAGACGTACAGACAAACAGAACAGACAAAAAAGACAGTCAGACGTACAGACGTGCAGACATACGGACATGCAAACGGATAGACACAGACAAACACAGACACAGACACAGACAGACTGGCAGATAGACATACAGGCATACATACAGCCAGCGAGGCAGATAGAAAGACAGACATACAGAGCGACATACAAACCAACGGACCAACAGACCCACAGGCCAAAAAAAGAAGCACAAACAAACGCACAAACACAACAAACAAAAATGCAAACAAAACAAACCTACCAACACATACACAGAGCCTTCACGTCCCGCTTAGAGATCACGGATGCATCCAGCTCCATGATGTTTGTGACCATGTCCTCTCTTCCATCTCTTCCAAAGTGTAATCCACTCATCACACAGCCAACACATTTTCGCCCTGGGGGCTCACTTGCGAACTTGCAGATCAAAGTGGCTCGACTTGCGCATGAAGTAATCCCTGGCATTCCCACTTTTCACGCCAGTTTAGCCGCAGACGTAAAATGCCGCAATTCATGGCCACGGGTCAACATCCCAATCCCCACTAAAAAGGTTCCAAAATGGGCGGTGAATTCACCTATCCCAAAATGGGATCCCATTGGTTTTGCACCATGGGCGCATCTCAAACAGATCTCCCCCCGGCACATCCCAACATCTCAAACAGATCTCCCTTTGGCCCCCCGTCTCCCCACGTCTCTCTCGGCCCCGCTCCAGAATCCGCGCGGCGCTGCTCCGCAGGACGCCGAGCCTTGCAAGTGACTCAAGCGGGGCGCTCGGCATGGGACCTTCCTGGCCGGTGAATCTGAAGAACAGACTCAAAGCACTTCTTCAGGGAGTTCCCAATCTGGCTGTGGTCAAAAATAGGGGAACCCCCAAATGGGTTGCCCTGGTAAGTGGAAAAACAGGACCGAAACCTGCGGTCCATATCCTGGCGGTTTAATCTTGACCCATACCAATTTCAGAAAACCATCGCCCATGAGACCATGCTTGGACTCGCACTCGGTGCGGAGTGCGTGGCCGAGGGGCTGCTTTTTGATGGCAGGGCTCATGGTGGGGCTCTTGCACAGAGCCATTGTGAGCCCCACCATGCCGTTCAAAGGGCTCCGCAACTCCTGCGACACCTCAGGCGGGCGCCTCCGGGCCATGAGCGGAATGTGTGGAAGTTTCGAAACAGTGCCCACCCGGCACGGTGACCAATGAGCGCCCTGATTCGGCAAAAAAGAAGACAAAGAAGGTGCACAAGCGGGCGTAATTGAGTACATGGTATGGGTGCAAGACAGCTTCAAGGTGCAAACGCGACGCCTGGTTCACAGGCGCGCTGGAAATGTTTCGCGCCAACCCTGCCGCCGTTCGCATGCATGCGCAGCGGAAACCAATTGGATCTGGCCCCTTTGCTGAAGCCCTTACTGGTATCGTGGTGCGAGCGTCGTCCCAAAGCCTCTGCAACTGCTTGACAAGCACGGATCGAGCGATTAACCAGTCTTAGCGGCCAAAGTCATCAACTGCTTTTTCTTCTCCTCGGGTGGACACCACAGGCATGACTTGAGGCGCATAAGAACCTCGCCTCCAGCAAATTGTGCTCCAAAGGAGACAAGTCCTGGCCCACCAAGGTGACCTGCGGAAGCTCCCACTCTTTCGATCGAGGTTGGCCCAAAGTCTCATCGGAACTTGGAGAATCCCTTCAATTTCCCTCGATTCTTGTACATTGAGTTACATGCACATGCCTGGTCGTCAAGCAGGAACAGCTTGAACAACAGGCGGACATCGCCCTGGGCACGCCGGATCCTAATAACTAAATTGTCCTCTTCCTTGAACCAAGCATGGCCTGATGAGCGTGGATGGCTAGTTGCAGCAATTCGGCCTTGCGCGACCTTTGGGGAAAGCGTGTGCCACAAACACTGGTCCACTCGCACGAAGCGAAATGCATCTTCCAGAATTCGTGCGAATGCAACCGAAAAAGTGACACTTAGGTGACTTAGCCCTGGACCCATTGCTGATCTGCTCAAGCACTTCTTTGAAGCGCGCATGGCTGGCAGGAAGAACGAAGTCATGCATATCTCGGCCTGGGTCCGCAAGGTCCAACCCGAAGAACCAGTCCGTCCGCACGCCCTCTGCGAGTGCATGCACGAGCTCAGGCTGAGGCCAACAGCGTCAACATCCAAGAGCTCCTCAGCTCAGAAGAGCTTGGCAGGCTGCTGAATGAGAGACAAGCTCCCTGGCTTCTCTTGACTTGCATTCTACCTGACCACCAAAGTGGGACAACATCACCTAACCTCCTCCAATAATTGCAAAAACTGTCGTACTTGCTGTCTGAGCATCAGCAGCAGCTTGGTTCAAGCCTGGTCATCAGCCCGGGCACTATGAAATACTCGCCAATCATGATTGAGGACTAACTGAGCGCTTCATGAACAGGTTTGATGACTCAACACAAGCACCACTCAAAAGGCTTTGCACATGTTGCCTTCAAACAAACCCCTAATCCTTCCTGAACATTTTGCGACAAGCGAAATTACCATATGCTGCCCGAGGTGCTAACAATCTTCCCATCAAGCGCCAAACGCAAAACAATCAGCCCAGAATGCTCAATAGCCTTTGCGATATCTGAGCGATCCATTCCTGGCACAAGCGTCATCCGCACCATGCCAAGGGCTTCGATGCAAGTCTACAAGGCAAACGACTCTAAAATCTGACTTGCGCCACCATCCTCCGCTGCAATTGTGGGTCTCCGCAAAGGCCTAAGTACAAACACCAAGCTGCACCCTGACACAGCTGATGGGCAATCTACAAGCTCGAAGACCAAATCTCTCTCTCTCTCTCTCAAGAAGCCGCTCGGCAACCAAGGCTCTAGCATTAACCGGCCAGTTGGGCCATGAATGGACCACAAGAGATACCCGTGACTTTGGATTGTAACTATTTCATGGCGTGCCAGCCCTGGTACTTCCTGATTCATATTACGCGGGCGCAGGCAAGAAGCTTCCTACCTTTGTCCGTATGCTTAGTTGTTTCTGGTTGCGTTGCTGGCTTCTGGTTGCTTCTAATTGATTCTGGTTCTGTCTGCTTGGTTGCTTGGCTCGCTCTTTTATTCCTTGTTGCGCTTGGAGCCACCACGAGCTGGAAAATCCAGCAATATGTGGCAAAGCGAGCATCTCCGAGATTGACTTCCTGGCGCACCTTCGGCATGAGTGTTGGCACTTTTCAAGCATACTTCAAATGGGCGGATCCCTCATTCTTCACCTTTTGTACCAATTGATCCCAGGCAAAACTTGAATCCGGAGACGGCCCACCTGCACTGGCGTGGGAGTCCGGAACTTCTGCCGAGCAAGGCCTGCGCATTGCATGCATTGCATGCCACTCGATGCAGGCAAAGGAAAGAAACAAAAAACGAAGGAAGAAAGAGCTCATGTTCCGCATTCTCAGCCACATTCCCCAGTTGGTCGAGCACTCATCAAGGAAGGAAACAAACATGCCTTGACAATCACAAAACATATCCACTCGTGCGCAAAAGATCTCAGCTACTGCCAAGGATAAAGACATCACGATTCGACAAATATGGTATGTCCTCTGCGGAAACAACACAGACCATCAAACCACGACATGGCTACCAAGTTTTGCATTGAAACTTGCAACAGCTGAGCTCACAAGGCAGCAATTATGACGGGAAAGGCAAGGGCTTGAATACATTTCAAGTGCAAGTGGCGGTGTCAAACATCAGCTATGGTGGCACCACGCTCCGTGAAAGGTTGAACTTTTTGTCAGAACGGATTGCACAACATGCCAGTCAGGCACTCGCGTGAAAGCAGCGGCCTGCGGAGGACCCTCACGGGACTTTGGAAGGTGTTTAGGTGAAGGATCGCATAAATATGGCGGAAATGCTTCGTGAGCTGAAACAAAAATGAGATCAGCCGTACGCCGCTTTCACCGAAAAATAAGCCAGCTGAATGCCGCAGCCTAGAAGATCTCTCTCTCTCTCTCGCTCTCTGAGGGTATCGATGTGTTTGATGAGCTTGAGGCATTCTAATTGTGACCCAACGTCACAGGAGTGAAAGCTGCACCCTACCGCTGGCCTGTTTGGCGGCTGGGTCGATACAAACCTATATCCACAAAGGGGCCTAGCAAAAGAGCCAAGAAATTCCCAGGCCGCTGGAATTGCCATGGGCGGGCCGAATTCGCCGGTCAGCTCTGGGCGCAGCCCTCATCCCCCTCCTCACCACCTGCGCCCGCTGCGCCGCCCGCCTTGGGCGCTGCCAGGGCGGGCGATGGAGCCGGCGCCGTGGAAATGGACGGCGGCGGCTGAGGCGGCGGCGGCTGTGGCCTCGGCTCCTCGGCCTCCTTCTTCGATAGCAAGCCGGCGGCGCTGGGGGCGGCTGGCCGCTTTGGCGAGGCCTGCTGCTTCGGAGGTGTCTTGGGCGACGGCGCCGGCTTCGCCTTGGATGCCTTGGGTGCTGCCTTGGGCGCCTTTGCCTGCGCCTTCGCACCGCGAGCCTGTATGGCACCCAACTTGGCCTGCATGGCTTCCGAGATGCTTGCCGCCTGGTGCTGCAGCGCCTGGTAGTCCATCGCGTAGCCGCCATAGGGGTTGCCGAACTGACCTCCCATGTACGGATAGTTCCCGAACTGAGAGTAGGGGTAACTCCGCCCAGCCGCCGCAGCTGACATCTGCTGCATTGCCGTGATGTAGGCAGCTGCCTGCGCGGCATGCGCCGGGTTCATTGTGTGTGTGGCAGCAGCATTGGCCTGCATCATCGACATTAAGGCCTGTGGGCTTGCTGGAGCCTGGCCAACCTGACCCTGGTTGGCCTGGCTCGGGCTGGGTTTGCTGACTGGGGCCTTAGGCTCTGGGGTCTCCAACTTTTGCATACGTTGGATGAACTTTTCCAGGGCGCGGGTCTTCTCCTCCTCTGTCTCGGGCTCCGGGCGTACGGCTTCGCGCTCGGTCTCTTCATCCCGCTTGGCTCGCGGACGGCGATCCTCTCCATTCGCCTCCTTTGACTCCTTCGACTCCTTCTCGCGATTGGTGGCAATGGGGATGAGCAAAGAAGAGTCCTTGTTGTCCTTGTCCACCATCGGGTCCAGGTCCGGGGGTTTCTGGTTCGATGCTGGGAGGTGGGCTATGTTCAGCAGCTCCGCCCTGCTGTACTGAATCACCTTTGGGGCATTGGGCTTCAGCATCTTGAGCAGAGCGTTCCCACCATCCTCTGCTTCGTCTTCACCTGAATTGCTCTCTCGTCCTTCATGCTCAGATGAAGCCTTCTTGTGTTTGCCCTTGCCTTTTCCCTTGCGGTCTCTTCCTTTGTCTCCGTCCTCATCGCGGCCATCCCGCCGCCGATCGCCTTTCTGGCCTTTCCCTTTGCCTTCTCGCCCCTTTCCTTCTCTTCCTTCTCTTCCTTCTCTTCCTTCTCTTCCTTCCCTTGGTTCCCTTGGTTCTCGTCCTTCCCTTCCTTCTCGTCCTTCTCTTTCCTCCTTCTCACCCGCCGGGGCCTTCTTTACCCAGGCGCTTTCCTTCTCCCGGCCCCTCGGGGCCATGGGCCTCAAGCCGAGATGCCACAGGCTTGGGCCGAGCTTTGTGCCGTAATGGCTGCCGCACGCCGGCAACTGCACACATCTCTCTCTCTCTCTCTCTCTCTCTCTATATATATATATATACATATATCCATCTCATCTATCCATCCATCCATCTATCTATCTATCTATCTATCTATCTATCTATCTATCTATCTATCTATCTATCTATCTATCTATCTATCTATCTATCTATCTATCTCTCCTCTCCAAACTGCGGGCAGG